TATAATAAAATTGATTTTTATTAATATTAGAAAAATAGTTTTGGTCGGGAAAAAGTTAAGACTTGTAAATTTTTTTAATTAATGAAAATAATTAATTGCCTCTAATGAAGGCCCTGGCTTTTAATTGATAGTGACTTAATTACTGCATGTGGCAACTGGCAAATAACATATTTGGTCGGTAACATATATTACTACTATTAAAAGAAAACTATACAAAATTTATAATTTAGTTTTTTTTTAAACATGCAACAAAATATTCTAACAAAAAGTTGAATTGTTTTTTTGTTTTCTAATATAACGGATTATATCGACTTGTTCGTTAATTTTCTAACTATGGCTTGTTTCAAAACAAAATATGACATCTATGTTATGACTTATGAACCTTGAACCTTTACACAATTAAGTTTAAAAAAAAACCTTTATACAATTAATTGTTCGATCTATGAAACTTTTGTTAAGTGTTTACTAGCAAACAAAGGTTTGTTATGAAATTTTTCCATTCGTTTTATGAAATTTACACATGTATTTTATATCAATTTACATACTTTAAAAACTTCAAAATCTCTGTGTATATAGCCAACCATTTTGACACCATTTTTTGTTTCAGTTCTGATACAGGTGGTTTAGAGCAAACTCCACCAAGTGATATTGTACTTTAACAGATTTGGGAATCCCCAAACTATGCCACCTAATTCAACTTTTCATACTATTTTTGGGGACATTTATTGTCCTAATAAAGTCTTGGTAACTTTTGATTTGTGCTAAGTACCTACAAAAATTTAATGAATATCATTTCCCTTATTCCACTCATCTTTTGATCTATTTAAGTTATTAATCTTAGTCACCACATTATCACCATTATAACTAAACTGTTGAAATGAGTAAAGAGCCAGTGATAGATACCAAACAAATAGCTTTTTTTTTAGAAGAATGGAATCATTTCATTTTAAAAGTTAACTAAATGAATCATTGCAGTTTGCAATCAGGAGAATTATAACTTATGGACCACAATTCCATATATTAATCCTATCTATATACACTCATATGAATATATATTGCATACAAATAGAAAGGAAAATATTATGTATTGCACATATGAATATATGTAAGTATATATGCAATTTGCAATCAGGAGAATTATAACTTATGGACCACAATTCCATATATTAATCCTATATATATACACTTTAACACTCATATGAATTTATATTGCATACAAAGAGAAAGGAAAATATTATGTAATGCACAAATGAATATGTAAGTAATATGAATGGGTCCATGAAAAAAAAGCATGATGGGTATTTATTCCAATTTTGTGTATTTTGTCCATTGGGATTGATTAAATTTTGATAAGATTGAGAACCATATGTTTTTGCCAGCTTACACTTGTCAATTCTCTTACCATGACCCCATCACTCTTTTTTGTATAATAGATTCTGAAAATCTTCTACTCAATTGAAAAATCCGTTACTCTTTTTAACCAATTTGACTAAAGTATGGACTAAATAATCAACCATACAATGACATTACTCACACAAATTACTAAAACTATAAACCATAGTCAATTAAAAATCTGTTTAACAGTTAATTAACCATTCTTCTGAGTCAATTATCTTATTGTTAAACGTTTTAGCATTTTATTTTTTTTCATTTAGTGTTTGTTCTTGATTGTTTGTATCACATATTTGTCAATTTCACCAAACTTTGTTTGATTCTTGTTGAATCTCTAGTAGTAGTTAATTAATTATGAACTCTTGTCTCCATTCAACTCTTCAGATATATGCTAATCAAATACTACAACATTATATCGTGCTCTTGTTTCTCTTAATCTAAGTTTGGTATATGATTTTTCCTCTGTTTTTATTTGCTTCATAAATTTCCACAACCTCTAAAACAAACAAAAGCCAATAATTTTGACAAGATTTCGTCAAACAAAACCTTAAAATTCGTCTAGAAGTACACTGCAAATACACTTGCTCCCAAAATCTGCCAAATTTGAGACCATTCAAAACATAGAAATGTGGATTCATAGAACTAGAACATAGTGCAAATACACTTACAAAATCCAACAAGTTTGAGATCATTCAAAAGAACGTAGAAATGTGGAGTCATAGAACTAGAACATAGTGCAAAATACACTTGCAAAACCTACCAAGTTTGAGAATTGAGACCATTAGACCTAGAACATACTGCAAATACACTTGCAAAAATCTACCAAGTTTTGAGACTAATCAAAAGAGCAAAAGAAAGCAGCAAATCTCCCTCGAAACGAATCAACGAGAAGCAATCATGGAGATCAAACACACAAGAAGAATGATCACACCCAAAATCGAAACCCAAACAACCCAACTCTTGTTCTTCTTCTTCATCTGATTCGCGTAGAACAAACTGTTAGTCCCACCACTCACAAAGCTCCCTGCATTAGCCACATTAGCTTCAATATCATCAACTCGATCTCCTTGAGTCTCAACAAGAACAGCCATGTCAAGAAACACTTGATGAAGCCTATTAAGACTTCTCTTAATCTCATTCACTGCTTCATGTCTCTCTTTAGTCTTCAAATCCATCTCTGGTTTCACTTCAAATGTCTTAACACACAAATCTCCACAAGAACCAGATATCATCTTCTCCATTACCTCATCACTTGCTTCTTCACCAGTCGCTAAAAAATACTTCCTTTGAAGTTCTTCTCTGTAATCAGCAAAGATTCTCTCCCTCAAACGATGAAACTCGACCATGGTCTCTCTCAGTTTCGACCTAACACCGTTCGTCGTCGAGACACGTGTCCTGTCCACGCAAGATCCTTCCTTGAAACTCGTGCGATTCTCCACGTTGCTCTGTTCGAGAGACCCGATTAGGGTTTTGACGTTGTTGGCCTTTCGAGAGATTGAGACGATGTTTGATTCCATTCTGTCTCTTAACCCGCGTATGATCTTGTTGCTGTGTGTTGATTTGGTTTCTTCGTTTAGGGTTTGGAGATCGAGTAAGAGATTAGTGATCTCTTCGATTAGGGTTTTGATTGAGTCGATTTCTTGAAAGAAAACAGAGAGGTTTTGGTCATCTTCTGGGCTGATAAAGTTTTCGCCTTTCTCCAAGTCTTGATCTTTCTTCGCTTGTTTCTTCAATTCGACATAACTTAAGAACGATTTCGTCATCAGATCATTCATCTTCGCAGAAACCCTAAAACACAAAGGGGAAAAAGAAAGTTAGAATCTTTAACAGAAAACAGAGTCAATTAAAAAGAGATGAGAACAGAGCAATTACAGTGTATGATTCTTCTTCGATTTGTTTCTCTGAAACGGGATGTTTCAGTTTTTTTCCGAGAAAAAAAGAAACTGCAAAGAGAAAACAAAAGCGATGATGAAACCAGAGAAACCCTTATATCATGAAGAAAGAAGAAGATACATTACACAATCTTCACAAGGAACCGAT